CCACACACACACACACACACACACACACACACACACACACACACACACACACACAGAGACAGTTGGCAGTATATGGGAGACATGCGGCTGTCACAGCCCAGGAGGGCTACTTCTGTGAACATCCCACAGTGCACAAGGTAGCCCCCATAGTGAAAATTGTCTCAGCCCCAGTTCACAAGGGCCTACAACTTCACTGGAGCCACAGATCCAGCCACAGTGAGATTGAGACAACCCTCAAGTGCCTGTAGAGGTGCCTGGACCAGATAGCTGGATCCACAGGCATGGTGGGAGTTCTTTCTGCTTGTTCACACCACACCGGGGACAGGAGGCCGTGGCTTCCTCCCTCCTCGAGCCTCGGGTTTGTGTGAGAATTAGGAGTGTTTAAAACACAGGATGCTGCCTGACCATGTGGTGAGGTCCCTTGCAGCTACGATAGGAAGACACTGACCACTTCCTGTGTCCAGGTTTGTGGCCTCTCTACATAGTCATACGGGAGGCACATCAGGGTATTGTTAAGCCTCTGTGTCCGCAGGTATGATGCCGGCAAAGATGGCTTCATCGACCTCATGGAACTGAAACTCATGATGGAGAAGCTGGGGGCCCCCCAAACTCACCTGGGCCTGAAGAGCATGATCAATGAGGTGGATGAGGATTTTGACAGCAAACTCAGCTTCCGGGAGGTGAGTCCATCCGCAGGCTGCTCCCCAGCCCGCTATGCCTGACCACTGGGTGGCCTTTGTTATTGAATGACACTGTCATTGGCCAGCCAGCTGTGAATAACCGATAGCTGGGTGAGGCTTGCAAGGCATTCTTAGCAGGTGTCCTCCTGCCTCAGCCTCCCAAGTACTGGAATGATAGGTGCAAGCCACCACACCAGCTGTTTTTAGTGATTTCTCTGTGCCCAGCTGAGTAGTGGGAAGGCTGTGTGGGAGGGGGCCAGAGGTTTAGAAAGAGGATTTACACAGAGCTTGGCTCAGAGGCAAACGAGTGATGCGTCCTGATGCGGGGACCAGGCATGATGTGAGGTAGCTTTACCTTCTCTGAGGCAGAAGCTGTGGACCAGCCTATTTAGGGACTGGCAGGAGGGTGGCGGCCCAAAGCTGACAGCTGTAGTTCTAGGTCCTAAACAGCATGGGGTTGCCTGTGTGGAGAGGTAGGTGCTTGGGGAGTCCTGGCCCTTACAGAGCCGACAGGAAGTAGGGGAGAGAGCAGTGTCAAGGGCATCTTGGGGTCTGGGAGATGACAATAGGCCAGGGAAGGATGTCAGAGTGGTCCATGGGAATGGCTTGGGGTCAGAGAGCACCTATTCCCATCCTTCCGGTACTTAAGCCTCTTGCCATCTCCAGACCATCTTCATGCTGTAGAAAGGGAGTGCGGTCCCTCCGGGGCTTTGTGAGTGGGATGTCATGCAGGTTTGTGGGGGAGAACAGTGGATGGCAAAGAGGAGAGGCAGGCTGGGGCTGCTGGTGGGAGCTGGGTGTGGTCCTTAGCCCAGGGCCCTGGCAGGGCACACCAGAAAGATAGGGAATGAAGCCTGCCTGGCTCTAGCTCCCGTTCCTGCAGGTGAACACGTAGCCTTTCTACAGAGAGATCTGAGCTGAGGCTTGGGTGTGGCCAGGGACTTTGTTCCAGTTGTGCCTTGCCGACCTGTGTCTTCCCTCCACAGTTCCTACTGATCTTCCGCAAAGCTGCGGCAGGGGAGTTGCAGGAAGACAGTGGCTTGCATGTCCTGGCCCGCCTCTCTGAGATCGATGTCTCCACAGAGGGCGTTAAGGGTGCCAAGAACTTCTTCGAGGCCAAGGTGAGGAGCCAAGAACTGTGCATGGCCCAGCCGTGTGATGACACGGCTTAGACGGAGGACTGGCGCAGTCCTTCCCTGTCCCTGTTCAGGCTGCACGAGAGAGGTGGGGCCGACTCTTGGGTTATGGGGCTCTTAAAGAGGCAGACAGCCAGCATTGCTCCCTAGAGACCCCTCCTACCCTGGAGGAAGCCGAGGGGTTCTCAGACCTCATATTTCGGTATGTACAGCCTCCTCTCCTTCAGAACATGCTTAGTTGGGGGTGGAGGGTGACACATTTGGTCCAATGGCTCCTGAGTCCTGCCCACTCAGCAACCCCCTCACCTTTTCCTTTTTCTTCTTTTCCAAACTAAGGCCTTTGCTTCCCAAGGCTGCCTCCCTCCCCTCTCTTCCAACCTTGCTAGAGATATCAGGGTTTATTAGTGGACCCGTATTCTTCACCTTAGGACAGGACATCAAGGGCATCGTTCCTGCCTGCAGAGCCCTGCACTGCTTCTGCCAATGAGTATTCTCTGTGTGTCTCTGGCTCTCACTCTCCTCTGTCTTTCTCTGTCTCTGAGAGAGATGGCCTCATATAACCCAGGCTAGCCTTAAACTTCTGATCCTCCTGCCTCTGCCTCCCCAGTGTGGTAGGTTCACAAGTGTTCAGCACCATGCCCGTGTTTTCAAGTACAGCTCAAACCCAGGATGTCATGCAGGCCAGGCAAGCACTTTACCAGCTGGACCCTGTCCAGTGTCTTGTTTTCATCTTCCCGCACGAGCCCCTGTGGTCAGTTACTGTGTGCCAGGTTCTATAGAGAGAGACTGAGGCACAGCGGGGTGACTGTGGCTCACAAGGACCACAGTTGGTGAGCCTGGGCCAGAAAGTGCTATAGAGGCCATATTCCTGACCTGTCACCCTCACTCCCAGGTACAGGCCATCAACGTGTCCAGCCGATTTGAGGAGGAGATCAAAGCCGAGCAAGAGGAAAGGAAGAAGCAGGCTGAGGAGGTGAAGCAGCGGAAAGCAGCCTTTAAGGAACTACAGTCCACCTTCAAGTAGCCAGGGCTGAGGCCGAGACCCGGCCTTGCCCAGTGTGCAGTCTGGGAGCATGGGTGGGTACAGGAGACTTGTGGGAGACAAACTGAGTCCTGGCCTATATGTGCCGGGACCACTACTGAAATCTAAACTGTCTGTGAACGGATCTCATGCAGGAGTCTCCCCAGTAGTTGGGACAGTCCCTGCTCCCTCCTGCTGTTCCTGAGGCTGTGACACCAGCCACCAGCATCCTCTCACCAACCACCCTGCTGCCTGCTCTAGCCCAGTGCCAGCCCATTCACCATGCCCCTGCCTTGTGTACCAGCTACTTTCTCCACCCACCTACCCTTAACCATAGGCCACCCTGCCACCCTGCCCTGAGCCTAATGGCCCCTTCCTAGATAGGAACCAGCAGAGAGTGTCCCCTCTACAGAACTTCCTTTCCGATCAGCTCCCTCTCTACTGGGCGTGGAGGGACTCCTGTTTTGGTGAAGAGACCCAGCCCCTAGCACTCTAGGCCGATATAAATGGGGCCCAGCCAGGCAGGGTGCAGGCCACTGAATCTACCTCACGGGTTACACTCTGCTTAGACATGCCATGGGAACGTGAGTGACAGGGCTCTGTGGAGAGAGGTAGACATGTCACTTTCTGACACCCTACCCCAGAACAAGCTGAGGGTCCCAGGGGGCTGCGGAGAGGAGGTGGGGTGCCAAGGGATTGGCCCTTCCTGGGGAGAGCCTCAGCACCCTGCCTTGGCTCCCCAGGGAGTGCCTCATGTGTTTGTGTGTATTGCAGTAGGACACGGGGCCGCCGGCACCCCTTTCACACCCTCCCCTGAGTTTGTCACCTGTGAGAGCACCTGCCTGTCATGCCCACCCCTAGAACGCATGGGAGTTCCCCAAACACATCCACCACCAGACAGGCCATAGTGAAACCCGTGCCATTCCTCCATCGCTCTCATGTGCTTGTTCACGTGTGTGTATGTGTGTGTGTGTGTCTGTTGCTGTGTTGTGAAACCGTGACGTCACCCAGTCTAAGTGAATGGCCACATAGGCCGCTGTTATACAATGCTCAGTGTGTCACTGCTTTTGAAACTTGATAACTCTTTATTTTACTACAAATGCCCCGAGTCCCCAGTTGCCCCCTATGGGACTTGCAAAGGTTTTATTTTTTCGGTCTTAGAACCCATAGGAGTTGGAGGGACCGAGCCCAGCTCAGCCCAGCCCAGCCCAGCAGCTGTGGCCCTGGCTTGTGTTTGCCTTAGTGGATATGTTTATACAGATGAAGAATATAAATTCCCTTTACTTTTGGCTTTCTGCATTTTATTTGTTGCCCCACCACCACCACTTCCTCCCCTCCAAAAAAGAAAACAGCTACTTCTTCATTCAGTGGTACGATTATTTTTTTTAACTAAAATGAGATAAAATTCTATATTCTTATGTGTGTGTGGTTTTTGATGGCGAACTGAAGAGGGCAGGGGATGGGACAAAGATAAGGTCACTGGATTTCAGCAATTACGTCAGGAGCCTGGGGAGGAAGAAAACACTGCTGGTCTAGATACTACATATATTAACCTCATCTCACCCTGAAAGGAGCCAGTCTTGTAATCTCCTTTTAAAGATAAGAAGGGGGGGCTGCTGGAGAGATCGTTGAGCAGCTAAGAGCCAAGTTCAATTCCCAGCAACCACATGGTGGCTCACAACCATCTCTCGTGGGATCTGATGCCCTCTTCTGGTGTAAAGTTGTACATGGAAATAGAGCACTCGTATACATAAAACAGATAAATCTGAAGAAGGAAGCAGAAGGAGAGAGAGAGAGAGAAAAGAAAGAAAGGCATCCTGAAGGTCACAAGCCACACAGACCAATTGGGGCATCAGGATTCTGCCCAAGGTGGCTAGCCCACAGCCAGCCTGTGCTGTCATCATAGGGCCACCAGCCTTGAGATTTCACAGAGGTAAGGCTGTGTGCCACCTGACCCCAAAATGATGGCCAGAAGCAGCTGTGGTGCATACCTGTCATCCCAGCTTTCTAGAGCCTGAGGTGAGGGGATGGTGTGTTTAAGCCTTGTTGGCCTAGGCTACACTACAAGACCCTGTCTAAAGAAACCGTAACAAAATGCTACAGAGGTTCCGAATCAGTGAACCCCTTGGTACAGATACCCTCCGTCCTCAGTGTCCCTGCAGTGTGGGAGTGGTTGCAGTGGTGGTACCAGCAGATGCCTGTGCGGTACCCATGGCATCCCGGTCTCCATCTGCTGACCATGTGGGTGGAACTGGAGTCCTTCCAGACTTGTAGTTACAGACACTGCCTAAGCGGAGTGGGTGCTTCTGCCCTCGTGTGGCCATGAGTGGAACTGCAACATCAAGTGGCCCATTGCTCTTTGCTCGCAGTCCTGTCTGGGAAGACAAGGATCTGGGGGCTTATATCCTGGGGTACACCACTCCTCACATGCTACCCAATGCGGGACAAACCACCAACACCAACAACGTTTTAGGCCAGGTGTCTCCTTTCAATACCCCTTTGCGGGGATCCCTGCAAGCGTCACAGCCAGCTGGAAAATGATCCTGGTGACATTAAAAATGAAACTTGGGACCCGGGAGTGATGGCACATAGCTTTAATCCCAGCACTCGGGCGGCAGAGGCATTCGGATCTCTGTGAGTTCAAGAAACTCCTTTGCAAACTCTAGCAAAGTTCCTATGACCTTTTCTATTGATTGAGAAACGGGGGGATTCAACTTGATGAGGACTGGCTTTACAGACTAGCCAAGATTACCCAGTATTAATACAACACCCACAGCCTCCTGGATGGAAAACAGGTGTCAGTTCTTTCTTTGAAGAAAAAAAGCCTTGTTTTCCGAATTGTTCAACAATCCTGGGTTTTCTAATGCTTATCTGTGAGCTCTTTCCCTGTACACCCCTTATCCTAGGGATTCCCTAACTCGCTACATCAGTGGTTCTCAACCTTCCTAATGCTGAGACCCTTTAATACAGTTCCTCACGGTGTGGTGACCCCCAACCATCAAAAGCTGTTGCTACTTAGCCGTAATTTTGCTACTGTTATGAATCCTAATGTAAACATATGATGTGCGACCCCTGTGAAAGGGTCATTTGACCCCCAAAGGTCATGACCCCACAGGTTGAGAACCACTGTGCTAGTGGACAGACTCCGGGAAGCAGGAGGGAGACTAAAGGGACCATCTTCCTTCCATTCAAACTGCAATTGGCCTGTCGATGAGTGTGTGCTCTGAGCCCTCAGACTCCAAGACCAACAAACAGGCTGACTCTCGGCTGCCAGAGACTCAACTGTTGGGGCCTCAACCTTAGCCTGCCAAGACCCCACCCACTGCAGAATGCTGCAGAGAAAGGCAGCTGAGAAACGAGGCTTCAAGTGACCCAGCTCCCTAGGGCATGGTGTGGTGCCACCTACCTGTAATGCCAGCACCGGGGAGGTAGCGGCCAGAGGATCAGGAATGTAAAACCAGCCTGGGCTCCACGGCCCCACATGGTGAAAGGAGAGAACCAACTCCACCAAGTGGTCCTCTGACCTCCACATGAGCACCATGGCATGTGTGTGAGCTTGTAAATAATTACATGTAATTCTTAAAAGTTTTTTTTTTATTTTAATCCAAACAATCCCAGCCACTCAAATCTCCATTGCGTTCCCAGATCCTCCACTGGACTTGGGTTTGTTTTGTTTTGTTTTGTTTTTTTAAAGACACAGGTCTCACCACGTGGCCTGGAAATCTCTGTGTAGACCAGGCTGGTCTTAAACTCAGATCTACCTACTCCTGAGTGCTGGGATTACAAATGCGTACCACCACACCCAACCCCCATTAAACTTACCACTCTACCACTCAAGCTCTCCAGTGAATCCCCAAATTCTCTCTGAAGCCACAATTCTTCCCTGTGGTATTTGGGGCAAAACCTTACCAGCTCTTCAACCTCCCCCACTTAGCAAACTTCATTCAAGAGGCAACAGCTGCCACCAAGTCTTGTGGGGGAGGCAGAGAATCCAGGCCCCTGTCACTAGCACCTGTCTCTTTCTCAGGCTCTCACTCCACCTTTTACCCCACAACCTTCTCGAGGCCACCGGGCATCATCTGGCCACATCCCAGCTCACCCACACATCCTTAGTGGTTACTCTTCCATTCCAGCCTCTGGCCCTGAGACCCTGAGGGTCACACTGTGGATGGGCCCTCAGGTCAGGATTAGGGTGGGAAGCTGGAGTGCTGTGACATCCCCAGCACCTCCAGGTCTCCAGTTCACTCTGAACATGGGATGAGCGGAGAAGAAACCTCATCCCCTCCATCGGGCTCCCGCCTAGGATGGATCTCATCTCCTACACAGCTCCAGCTAGGGTTCTCTTCTCCAGGAACGCATCCCCCTGGCTGACAGGAGGGCGCCCCCTCCTGTACACAGGGCAGACACATAGCCAGTGCTTAATAAATCTTGGGGACATGAACAAAAACATTCATGTGTTTTATATATATAGCATGCCAAATAAAACCCACATCTAGAAACAGACGAGTCAATACAGTGTGGAGCCCTATCCTACAGTCACAGGAAAGCCACTAGGCCCCTATGACAGCTTTTGCAGTCTGTCAGCCTACCCAGTATCACAGTGTGGGCCAAGGCTAATGGTGTTCTCTGCCCAGCTACTCACTGCACCAGAGCCAGGGACCAAAGTGCCAAAATGGCTCCTGCCCACCCCACCAGCTGCTCTCGAGAAATGGTTGCTCATAGGCACAGTAAAGACATTCAAGGGCAGAGCCAAGGCCCTTGAGAGGCCCCAGAGAACGCTTTTTATTTCTTTAAAATCAACAGGAAATGGAGCTGGGGAGATGGCTCAGTGGCTAAAAGCATTTGCTGCTTTTGCAGAGGACCCGAGTTTGGTTTCCAGCACCATCACAGCAGTTCACAAACACCTGTAACTCCAGGTCCAGTAGATCTGATGTCCTCTCCTGGCCTCCTCTGGCACCAAGCACACACATGGTGTACAAATATACACATAGACAAACATTCACACACATACAATCATCTTTTAAAATAATAATATAATAATAATAACAATAGTGATAATAAAATCTGCAGAAAATACACAAATCGAGTTACAGTCATCGACCAAGGCAGACAAGCCCTGGAGTTTAGATCAGCGTTCTGATGGAGATAAGAGAGGCCCTGTGAATTCACTCCACCTTGGAAACCCCATACTTCTAGCCAACCACGTCTCCTGCCCAAATTAAACAGTAATTACCAAGGTCAGGAAAAGGCCTTGTCGGAACAGGTTTGTCCCCAGGCTGAGCTCAGTCTTGAACCCTATGCCCTCACTCCCCCCTGCCCCCCGCCCCCGTGCCTATAAATGCCCAGCCTAACTCTCCACCAGCCAGTGCTGAGCGCCTGACCATGTTGGGAATTACAGTCCTCGCTGCCACTATCATAGTAGCCTGCGGTAAGCTCGGGAGTGGGGACAAGCTACATCCAGCGGGCTGTAAGATCAAGCTGGCCTTGGGGTTTCCTCTGCTCCCCAAGAAAGGCACTTTGGGGTCCTATGTGGGTTCAGCTACTGAGCAGCTGTGTGTCAGTTAAGCCACTTCCAAACTAGAAGGTCCTGGAGAGAGGATGAAGAGCACCCTCTAGGGAGTGAGGCTTAGACAGGGGGCCCTGAGCAAGGTCCACAGTAGGAGCTTCAAGTGGCTGTGTTCACTCCAGGGGGCCGCTGGGCCTGCCTTTCCCAGCTGTGTCTCCCTCTTGAGGGCTCCTTTGCTCTCCCATTTTGGCGGCTTCTTCACAGATTACCAACTGAGGGGTTCAACAGGGCTTGGTTTGGTTTTGGCAAGTGAGAACACCTGATTAGGAGTAGAGGGGGGCTCTCGAGATGCAGGAGCAAACTGGACCATATACAAGTATTAGGTTTGTCCATCTCTCTCCATTCAACAGTGGGGACACACAGGTCCAGTGATGCTCAGTACCCTGCCTCAGGGCCACATGCTACCTAACACCCATCTGGCTCACCTCAGCGCACACACGCCTAACCACTCCACAGGACTTCCTAGACATGACAGTGTGGGACTCTGTGTAGTCCACGCTGAATGCTCCCCCATACGCACACTGTACTGTGACCCACAAAAGGCATCTTCCGTCCCTCATAAGTGCCGGTCACCTGCCTGTTGCTTTCACTATATGAAGCATCCTTCCTCCTTCTGTGTCACGTGGCTCAGGAGACTCTCGGATCCAAGTCTGAGCTTCCCACCTGTCACCCCCTGGGGAGCGGAGGGGGGGGAGAGTGAGGGCAGCTGCTCACCTGCACTCCCCTCTCCCCCCAGCCTCCAGCTGTGGAGATCCCACCTTCCCACCCAATGTGGCAACCAGGGTGGTAGGAGGAGATGATGCCATCCCCCACAGCTGGCCTTGGCAGGTAAGCACTTTGTGAAGCAGATGC